AACACCCTCACCCCCTCACCCAAACACCCTCACCCCCCTCAAACACCCTCACCCCCTCACCCAAACACCCTCACCCCCTCCCCCAAACACCCTCACCCCACTTCCACCCCCTCACCCCTCACCCAAACACCCTCCCCCCCTCACCCCTCTCCCCCTCCAAACACCCTCACCCCCCCCCTCCAAACACCCTCACCCCTCACCCAAACACCCTCACCCCCTCACCCAAACACCTCACCCCTCTTAAACACCCTCACCCCCTCACCCAAACACCTCACCTCCCTCACCCAAACACCTCACCTCCCCTCACCCCAAACACCCTCACCCCCTCACCCAAACACCCTCACCTCCCTCCCCAAACCCCCTCCACCTCCCTCCCCAAACACCCTCACCCCCCACCCAAACACCCTCACCCCCTCACCCAAACACCCTCCACCTCCCTCACCCAAACACCCTCACCTCCCTCCCCACCCAAACACCCTCACCCCCCTCCCCAACACCCCCCCCCCCCCCCCCACCCCCCCCTCACCCAAACACCCTCACCCCCCCACCCAAACACCCTCCCCCCTCACCCAAACCTCCCTCCCTCAAACACCCTCACCCCCCCTCACCCAAACACCCTCACCCCCCTCACCCAAACACACCTCACCCTCCTTAAACACCCTCACCCCTACCCAAACACCCTCCTCCCTCACCCAAACACCCTCACCTCCCTCACCCAAACACCCTCACCTCCCCTCACCCAAACACCCTCACCCCCCTCACCCAAACACCCTCACCCCCCTCCCAACACCCTCACCCCCTCACCCAAACACCCTCACCCCTCATAAACACCACCTCCCCCTCACCAAACCCTCACCCCCCTCACCCAAAACACCCTCACCCCCTCACCCAAACACCCTCACCTCTCACCCAAACACCCTCACCTCCCCTCACCCAAACACCCTCTTTCTCTTAAACCTCACCCCTCACCCAAACACCCTCACCTCCCTCCTAAACACCCTCCTCCTCCTCACCCAAACACCCTCTCCCCTCACCCAAACACCCTCCTCCCTCACCCAACACCTCTTCCCTCCAAACACCCTCACCCCTCACCCAAACACCCTCACCCCCCCCTCACCCAAACACCCTCACCTCCCTCACCCCAACCCCATCCCCCCCCTCACCCAAACACCCTCACCTCCCCTACCCAAACACCCTCACCCCCCTCTAAACACCCTCACCCCCCTCACCCCACCTCACTCACCCCAAACACCCTCACCTCCCCTCAAACACCTCACCCCCTCCCCAAACACCCTCACCCCCTCACCCAAACACCCTCACCCCTCACCAACACCCTCACCCCCTCACCCAAACACCCTCACCCCCTCACCCAAACCCCCTCACCCCCCTCACCCAACACCTCCCCCCCTCACCACACCCTCCCCCCACCCAAACACCCCCTCCACCCCCTCACCCAACACCCTCCCCACCCCCAAACACCCTCACCCCCTCACCCAAACACCCTCACCCCCTCCCAAAACCCTCACCCCCCTCACAACACCCTCACCCCCCTCACCCAAACACCTCCCCCTCTTAAACACCTCACCCCCTCCACCCAAACACCTCCCCCCCTCACCCAAACACCCTCACCCCCCCTCACCCAAACACCCTCACCCCCCTCACCAAACACCCTCACCTCCCTCACCCAAACACCCTCACCCCCTCACCCAAACACCCTCACCCCTCCCCTAAACATCACCTCCCTCCCCACCCACTACCCTCTACCTCCTCTACCCAAACACCCTCTCCCCCCTCACCCAAACACCCCTCCCCCCTCACCCAAACACCCTCACCTCCTCTAAACACCCTCACCTCCTCACCCAAACACCCTCCACCCCCTCCCAAACACCCTCACCTCCTCCCCAACACCCCTCACCCCCTCACCCAACACCCTCCCCCTCAAAACCCTCACCACCTCACCCAAACACCCTCACCCCCTCCCAAAACACCCCACCCCCCCTCCCCAAACACCCTCACCCCTCTCCCTTCACCCCCACCCAAACACCTCACCCCCCTCACCCAAACCTCACCCCCTCACCCAAACACCCTCACCCCTCCCAAACACCCTCACCCCCTCACCCAAACACCCTCACCCCCCTCCCAAACACCCTCACCCCCTCACCCAAACACCCTCACCTCCCCTCCTTAAACACCCTCCACCCCCTCATAACACCCTCACCTCCTCCTCAAAATACCTCACCCCCTCCACCCAAACACCCTCACCCCCTCTCACCTCACCCCCTCACCCAAACCCTCCCTCCTCACCCAAACACCCCCACCCCCCTCCCAAACACCCTCACCCTCCCCTCACCCCTCCTCCAACCTCCCCCTCACCCAAACACCCTCACCCCCTCACCCAAACACCCTCACCCCCCCTCACTTAAACACCCTCACCCCCCTCTCTCACACCCTCACCCCCTCACCAAACACCCTCACCTCCTCACCCAAACACCTCCCCCTCCCCTCCAAACACCCCTCCCCCCCTCATCCACCTCACCTCCCTCACTAAACACCCTCACCACCTCACCCCACCCTCTCACTCCCCAACCCTCACCCCCTCACCCAAACACTTACCTCCTCCAAACACCCTCCTCACCCAAACACCTCCCCCCTCACCCAAACACCCTCCCCCCTCACCCAAACACCCTCACCTCCCTCTCCAACACCTCTACCCCCTCCCAAACACCCTCACCCCCCTCACCCAAACACCCTCACCCCCCCCTCCCCAAACACCCTCACCCCCCTCACCCAAACACCCTCACCCCCCCTCACCCAAACACCCTCACACCCTCACCCAAACACCCTCCTCCCTCCCACCCAAACCACCTCACCCCCCTCACCCAACACCCTCACCCCCCCCTCACCCAAACACCCTCACCCCCCTCACCCAAACACCCTCACCTCCCCTCACCCAAACACCCTCACCTACCCAACACCCTCACCCCCCCCCTCACCCAAACACCCTCCCCCCTACCCAGCACCCTCACCTCCCTCACCCAACACCCTCCCCTCTCAAACACCCTCACCCCTCCACACCCTCACCCCCTCACCCAAACACCCTCACCCCCTCACCCCAACCTCCCTCACCCCCCCTCACCCAAACACCCTCCCCACCCCCTCACCCAAACACCCTCACCCCTCCTTAACCTCACCCCCCCTCCCACCCCAAACACCCTCACCCCCCTCTTAAACACCCTCACCTCCCCTCACCCAAACACCCTCACCTCCCTCCCCACCACACCCTCACCTCCCCTCACCCAAACACCCTCACCTCCCCTCACCCAAACACCTCCCCTCACCCTTAAACACCCTCACCTCCCTCACCCAAACACCTCACCCCCCCTCACCCCAAACACCCTCACCCCTCTTAAACACCCTCACCCCCTCACCCAACACCCCTCCCCTCTCACCCTCCCCCTCACCCAAACACCTCACCCCCTCACCCAAACACCCCTCTCCCACCCTCACCCCCTGCACCCTCACCCCCTCACCCACACCCTCACCCCCTCACCCAACACCCTCACCCCTCACCCAAACACCCTCACCCCCCTCACCCAAACACCCTCACCTCCCTCAAACACCCTCTTCCTCCTCCCAAACCCCTCACCCCCACCCAAACACCTCACCCCCTCACCCAAACACCCTCTCCCCCCTCACCCAAACCACCCCTCACCCCCAAACACCTCACCCCCCTCACCCAAACACCCTCCCCTACCCCCTCACCCAAACACCCTCACCTCCCTCACCCAAACACCCTCCACCCCCTCACCCAACTCCCTCCCCCTCCTTAAACCCCTCACCCCCTCCAACACCTCACCCCCCCTCACCCAAACCCTCACCCCCCTACCCAAACACCCTCACCCCCTCACCCAACACCCTCACCCCCTCACCCAAACACCCTCCTCCCTCACCCAAACACCCTCACCTCCTCAAACACCCTCACCCCCCTCACAAACACCCTCACCTCCTCTGACCTCACCTCCCTCACCCAAACACCCTCCCCACCCCCCCTCACCCAAACACCCTCACCCCCTCACCAACACCCTCACCCCTAAACACCCTCACCCCCCTCACCCAACACCCCTCACCCCCTCCCCAAACACCCTCACCCCCTCACCCAAACACCTCCACCCCCTCACCCAAACACCTCACCCCTCCCTCACCTACACCCTCACCCCCCCTCACCCAAACACCCTCACCTCACCCAACTCCCCCTCACCCCCACCCCAACACCCTCACCTCCCTCACCCAAACACCCTCACCCCTCACCCAACACACCTCCTCACCCAAAACACCCTCACCCCCTCACCCAAACACCCTCACCCCCTCACCCAAAACACCCTCACCTCCCTCACCCAAACACCCCTCCCACCTCCCTCACACCCAAACACCCTCACTCCCTCCCTCGACACCCTCACTCCCTCACCCAAACACCTCATCTCCTCACCCAAACACCCTCACCTCCCTCACCCAAACACCCTCACCCCCTCCCACACCCTCACCCCCTCCAAACACCCCCTCACCCCCAAACACCCTCCTCTCCCTCACCCAGCACACTCCCCTCACCCACCCCCCCTCCCTAAACACCCTCACCCCTCACCCAAACACCTCCCCTCCTCCACCCTACCCCCCTCACCCCAAACACCCTCACCCCTCACCCCAACACCCTTACCCCCCTCCCCAAACACCCTCACCCCCCTCACCCATACCTCCACCCCCTCACCCAAACACCCTCACCCCCTCTTAAACACCCTCCCCCCCCCTCACCCAAACACCCTCACCCCCTCCCAACCTCTTCACCCACCTCACCCAAACACCCTCACCCCCTCCCTTAACACCCCTCACACCCTCACCCCTCTTAAACACCCTCTTCCCTTCACCCAAACACTCTCCCCTCCCAAACACCCTCACCCCCCCTCACCCAAACACCCTCACCCCCCTCACCCAAACACACCTCACCCTCAAGCCCAAGAACGTCCCAGACCGAGACAGAGACCAAGACCAAGACCAAGACCAAGAACTGAGACCAGGACTGAGCGAGACAGACTGAGCAGACCAAGACCCTGAACCAAGACTGAGAGCAGACCAAGACCTGAACCAAGACTAGACCAAGACTGAGAAACGAGACCAAGACCTAGACCAAGACTGAGACCAAGACCTAGACCAAGACTGAGAGCGAGAACTGAAAAAAAAAAATCTCGAGCCCTACATGTTGTAAGCTCTACCTTCAGCACACAGGGAGGCAGCGTGGCCGACACTACACTCAACCATCTTCACTACAACTAAAAACCAAAAAAAAGTAGGTATATCCGTTCAACAGTTGGGTGTACTCAGTTGGGTGTACTCAGTTGGGTGTGTACTCAGTTGGTTGTACTCAGTTGGGTGTACTCGCAGGATCGAACCAGTGAACCTTAGGACTCCAAGTTGATTCCTATCATCTCAGGCACATAAATAAATTCAGATTGTGAATAATAGTAAGATTAATTATCATAAATTTAATTTTATGTTTATTTTATGTTCTTAAATTAATTCTATTTAAGTGGGTTTTTCCTAACCTGACAAGAGTTAGTAGCCTGAGGGTGGGGAGGGAAAGGGTAGGGTTGGGGTAGGGGTAGGGTTAAGGGGCGTTGGGGGAGTAGGGTTGGGGGGGCGTTAGGTGGGGTTAGAGGTGGGGTAGGGGTTGGGGGAGGGTTGGGGGAGGGTAGGGTTGGGGGAGGCGTTAGGGAGGTTCGAGGTGGGGGTAGGGGTGGGGAGGGTAGGGTAGGGGGTAGGGGTGGGGGAGGGACTTCATTACCATATAAATTATGTTGAATGTTGATCAACCAATGGTGATGACAGGACCTTGTTGTGATGAGGAGGAGGAGGAGGAGGAGGAGGAAGAGGAGGAGGAGGAGGAGGAGGAGGAAGAGGAAAGGAGGAAGAGGAGGAGAGGAAGATGAGAGGAAGTTGGGAGGAGGAGGGAGAAGGAAGATGAAGGGAGGAGGAAGAGGAATATGAAGAGAAGTAGTAGGAGGAGGAGAAAGAAGATGAAGGAAGAGGAGGAGGAAGATGAAGAGAGTAGTAGGAGGAGGAAAAGGAAGGAAGATGAAGGGAGGAGGAAGATGAAGAGGAAGAGGAGGAGGAAGATGAAGGAAGTAGTTGGAGGAGGAGAAAAGGAAGAGATGAAGAGGAGGAGGAAGAGGAAGATGAAAGAGGAAGAGGAGGAGGAAGATGAAGAGAGAAGTAGTAGGAGGAGGAGGAAAAGAAGGAAGAGGAAGAGGAGATGAGAGGAGGAGGAGGAAGAGAGAGTAGGAGGAAGAGGAAGACGAAGAGGAGGAG